GATTGGAAGTGGAGCAGCTGGGACTCAAACCAGTGCATTGGGGATATTTTAAAGCCATTTATAATGAATAGCAATACAAATGTTTATATATATATGCTTAAACTCCATGTCTATTTTTTTTTTAAGATTCATCTGTTTATTTGAAAGACAGAGTTACACAGAGAGAGAAGGAGAGGCAGAGAGAAAGACAGACAGACACAGAGGGGTCTAACATCTGCTGGTTCACTCCCCAGTTGGCTGCAATGGCCAGAGCTGCGCTAATCCAAAGCCAGGAGCCTGAAGCTTCTTCCAGGTTTCCCATGTGGGTGCAGGGGCTCAAGCACTTGGGCCATCCTCTGCTGCTTTCCCAGGCCAGAGAGCTGGATTGGAAGTGGAGCAGCCAAGACTCAAACCAGCACCCATATGGGATGCTGGCAGTGCAGGCAGTGGCCTAACCCACTATGCCACAGCACCAGCCCCTCCATGTCTATTAAAACTAGGAAAGACACACCCCTATTTCATAAACTGGAAAATATGGGCTGGCACAAAACTCCAGTTGTTTTTTGTTGTTGTTGTTTTTTGTTTTGTTTTTTTTTTGTTGTTGTTGTTTTTTTTTTTTTTTAAATTAGAGAGAGAGAGAGAGAAAGATATCAGTCCATCTGTTGATTCACTCTCCAGATGCCCACAACAGCACTGGGTCAAGCCAAACCCAGGAACTGGGAACTTAGTCCAGGCCTCCCACAGGAGTGGTAAGAACTGAATTCCTTGAGTCATGATCTACTGCCTCATAGGGTCTGCATTAGTGGGAGTTGAAGTCAGGAGCTGGAGATGGATCTGGAACACACACTCCACTGTGGGCTGCAGGCATCATAACTGGCACAGACTAGGCTAAATGCCCACCCCGGAAACAACACGTTAAGTCAAGGGAAGAGAAGAGGCGTCAAGACACTGATCAACTCTTGCTTGAGAACATGTGGAAATTGTAGGGTCAGACGACAAAAAGGAACAGTGTGGAAGAGATGGATGAGGAGATGAAAGGCTATTTATTCAGCAAAATGAAGGGATTATTTTAATACAACTTCTCACTGACGAGGACATTTAAAAAAATGGATGAAGGGACAATAGAGTAAGACAAGATGGAATTGAAGAAACTGTTGGAGCAAGAATTTTGAAATTAAACCAGCAATAGAGAAAGCTAAAAATTTAGAGTAGCTGCAGTAAGCAGAACTCACTGCAGAAAAAGCAAAAAGAAAAAAAGAAACATGGAGTAAAAATGGTAAAATTATACAGAATGTAGAAACAAAGGACAAGTCTTAAGACTGAGAAGCTGACTTAGATGGGGAACTGAAGACCTGATCGTTGCCATGACTGAAGAGGAGAGCAGAAGAGTTAGGTGAGAACTCAGCAGACGCTGTTTCTGAAGTTGATTCAACTGCTCAGAGACATTTCAGTAGCAACTGGTAAAGTAAGCAGACTACTGTCCAAATTGCTAGGTCAAAAGGCAAAAAGCCCACAAATTTTTCTTTTCTGTAGAGCAAGAGAAAAAAAAAAAATAGGAAGCATGAAACATGTAAAGATAAAATAAGATGAATGAGAATACAAAATAGCTATTAAAACCTATGTTAGTGAGATATTCTCATCTATTAATAAAAGCAATGGAAGGTGGCCCAAGTTTTTGAGCTCCTGTCACCCACGTGGGAGACCGGAAGAAGCTCCTGGCTCTAGGCTTCAGCTTGGCGTAGCACTGGGCATTGTGGCCGTCTGGGGAGTTTACTACAGGATGGAAGATTCTCTCCCTCTCTCTCTCTGTAAATCTGACTTTCTAAAATAAAGAAAGGAAAATCCTAAAATAACCTATAATTTAAATGAAAAAGATTATCAGTGATAGCTCAGGATAATATAAATGGGAGGTTGAAATGTTTGTAATATTATGATCCAACAAAATTGAATTCAAGATGAAATTATTACATGGGTATGAAAGACCATAATACTGAAAAGTACAATCTACCTTAAGAAGTAACTCTCAGAAACGAATTAGTTCATTAAATATACCACTGATATATATAAAGGAAATCTGTAAAAAGATAATTGACAAAATATAGAAAGATTGTATACATGTTGATTCATGTTTCTTTGGTATTATTCTCCTAGCTCACATTCAGTAGGAATAGATACCTAAAATTTTTTCTAATTTTTCTTTCAGTTTTTCTGTTGATGTTTTGGAATCACTGTATCATTACTCTTTGACTATGAAGTATTCAGTCCATCAAACTTACCAGCCTCTGCTCTTAGTTGATTGTCCACCTCATCTTTCACCAAGAAAATAGTGGTCATAGGACAAGTAACCTCATCAATAAGCTGATTTGTTTCTTAGTAGAAGAGAGACATCTTACTCTAACACTAATGACTGCCATTTGCACTGCTGTGAGGATGCCAGCATCCTATCTCGTGAGGATATGAACAGACCTGTACGCAGAACCAAGTCGTCATTCCCAGAGGAGAACTCACTGCTTTCCTCCCTGGTCTTGCTTTTCATTGAGAATTCCTTCCTTCAGTGCACAGAGCCACATTCACTAAGAGGCTCATTTCTCCTGAGGCCTGAGACTGGGTATTGGTGGAAGTATAGTGGAACCAATCTCAGAATGTATTGTCTGCATTTTGTTTGAATTGCAGGTTCACCTGTTTCCTGAGTAGATTGTTGTATTTATAAAACCAGCAATGTAATCTTTTTGACTGTGAAACATTTGGGAGAATTACCTCTGTGCTGTGACTGCCACTTTTTGGTCCCAATTTTCTGTGTGTACCACCCACGATCCTTGCATCATAACAGTGTTTTCTCTTCACTTTGAATATGGGAAGCAACAATCTACATTGCTCAGAGACATGGACTCATTAAAATAAATAATAAATAAATAACCCTGGAAAACAGTGAAAACATAGATCGTGAAACTCCCAGGGTAGGGATTTGATTTGGTGCTGGTGATGTTTGGCTGGGTGGACAGGGGCAGTGCAGTGTAAAGCCTGGATATGTTTATAGACCAGGTTACCCACACAAAAGCACGGCACAGTCATGAGTTTACTCATTGATAGTGACACCATGAAGCACTGTAAGAACATAACATTGTTGCTGACTAAATATGTTTAAGAAGGAGAGGGACTGGCATTGTGACGTAGTGAGATAAGCTGCCTCCTGCAGCACCAGCATCCTATATGGGCACTGGTTCATGTCTGGCTGCTCCAATTTCTATCCAGCTCCCTGCTAATGTGCCTAGGAAAGCAGCAGAAGATGGCCCAGGTGCTTGGGCCCCTGCACCCACATGGGAGACTTGGAAGAAGCTCCTGGCTCCTCATGTTGGCCTGGCCCAGATCTGGCGGTTGTGGTCAATTGGGGACTGAATCAGTGGATGGAAGGCCTCTCTGTCTTTCCCTCTGTCTCTGTAACTCTGCCTTTCAAAGAAATAACATAAATCTTTAATAACTAAATTCAAGGAGAAACTCCTCTGTGCTCTTCTGAGGAAAAACGAACTGTAAAGTTTCATGGAATTGTAAATTGCCCTTTTGTTACCCATTAAAGAGTGAGGAAGAACCTATTTTCTTTGCCTTAATTTAGAAGAGTTTAAGGACACTTCTTTTCACCGTTATTGGAAATTATATGTGTCCTGTGTTTTTCAAGTATTTTCTGTCGTAACTATAGTGACACATTACTGTAGAACCAGCTGAATCGAGGACTGTAGGTGAGGGCATGGACGGGAAGGAGGGCGGGTGCGGTGGCTGATGGATCTGTGAGAGGTTTTTATGTTTATGGAAAGAGAAACAAGCGGATTGTAGCTTTAAGGTCTCAGTATTGCTTTATGAGTGTCTAGAATTGTTGGGGCAGGGGTGACGTTTGAGAACCTCAAGCTCGCAATGTTAAGGAAGGCCTGGGAGGGTATGGCCAGCTTCTGAATGCAGCTGAATGTCGTTGGCAAATATTTTCCAGATTCTTCTGTACCACTTAATGAAGGTGAAACATTAATGCCTCAGGGAAATTTTAGTGCTGCAGCATAAAAGGACCAACAGCAGCAAGTGTGATGTGATCACTCGTGTTTTAAAAGGATGTGAAAGCTGCTGTTTCTGCAGTTAGCATGTTGAACCAATTTAACAATAAGAACTCTGCTTAATGTCTGCTGAAGCAGCTTCCTCATTGAATCAGTGCAGTGGGAAGCCTGTGGAATAGTCTCAAGCTAATTAGCGGTGTCAGGACGTTTAAAGACAGGCTGTATTTTTACCCTCACACAAGGTGAGTCCCTGCAGTCTAAGGGTACTGTTCCCAAGTGCATGCCCGTTTACTGCCATGTCTTCTGCTTGCTGGTTTCTGGCTGTGTGTGTATTTGTGCTTTCTTAACAAGTGACATTTTACTCTTCATTCTGTGTGTAAAATACCATGACTCATTGACATTAACCAATCAGTATCCAGTATGTTTGATTATAATAAAGAGCACACAACTTGTAGGGTTTTTAAAATTTTTTTTTTTAGAAAAACTTATTTGTTTCAAATGTGGAGAGGCAAAGAGAGATCCCATCCACCTGATCTCTCCCCTGATGCCTACAATGGCTGGGGTGGGAGCCAGGAGCCAGGAGCTCAGTCCAGGTCTCTCTAGGAGCTCAGTTACTTGAGCATCGCTGCTATCTCCCAGGGTCTGAAATAGTAAGAAGATGGATTCGGAAGCTGGAGCTAGGTATCAAAGCCAGGTACCCTGAGATAGGAAGTGGACGTTTTAACTGGCATCTTAACTGCTATGTCAAATGCCTGCCCTATTTTTGTTTTTAATGCCAGTATTTTACTTTGTAAGCAAGGTTTTGAATAAGGATCAATTTCTAACAACTTTTTAGGGGTACTTTTTGTTTCCAGCCTCCTGTCATCTGAGTACCATAATGAAGAAAAACAACTGCTTGAATGTCCTTTTTTACTGAGAGATGACCACCCATAAAATCATTGTTTAATTTCAGATATTTTCTTTTCTCTATGTATTTCCTGCCAGCTGTTGAAGCCCATACATACCACAGTTGTAACGACAAAGAAAAATGTTCCAGTCTCAAGACATGAAACTTACACAGAGGAGTTTATTAAAAAGCAGATTGAAGAGTTCAACATAGGAAAGAGACATCTAGCCAACATGATGGGAGAAGACCCAGAAACTTTTACCCAAGAGGACATCGATGTGAGTATAGCTACTCTGGTGGAAAGTGATTGCTGTAGAGTTTCAGATATTGAAAGCGCTTTTTGGTGTGAGCCCTTAGCTTTGTGTAAATTTTAACCAAACTGTCAGAATAAGGAGAAGTGCCACTATACACTCCAGGCTGAAGCCTGATGTCAAAGACCAATGTCAAGTCTATTTGAAGCATTACAAAGTACGATGAGTTCAAACATTTTTTAAAATATTTTTTATTTAATTTGAAAGAGTTAGAGAGAGAGAGGTCTTCCATCCAGGGCTGGCTCAGGCAAAAGCCAGGGGCCAGGAGCTTCTTCCAGATCTCAGATATAAGTATGGGGGCCCAAGGATTTGGGCCGCGTTCTGCTGCTTTCCCAGGCTCATTAACAGGGAACTGGATCAGAAGTGAAGCAGCTGGGACTTGAACCGGCACCCTTATGGGATGCCGGCACTGCAGACAATATACTTCATCTACGATGCCACAGTACTTGCCCCGAGTTTAAAATATGAGTTAGAAATGAATACTTTTCTTTTTTCAAGTTCATAGATACCAGTTTGAATGCTTATACATTGTTTGAAAATGTTTATCCTGTTGTTTAGTCTCAGATTAAACTTTCTTACAAAGTGATAGTAATGAAAATAGAGTCAAGTTTATAGTAAACCTCACAAGTAAAAGTTGGTCCAGTATTTTGTTATCCGCTTAAACATATTTTGAATTTTCAAAATGAGGGCCTAAGTTTGAGAGTTTGAGTCAGAATTCTACTTCTGTTGCACTCTTGAATTATCACATTTCTGATAAACATAATAATGGTCAATAATACTTCTATGCTAAAGATGTAAGGGTAGCTAGCTGAGAAACTTAAATTTTAATGATTTTGAAGCTTGTTCTTTTTTTTCTGAAGATTTATTATTTGAAAGGCAGAGCTACAGAGAGAGACAGATCTTCCATCCACTGGTTCACTCCCCAAGTGGCTGCAACAGTCAGAGCTGGGCCGATCCAAAGCCAGGAGCCAAGAACTTCTTATGGGTCTCCCACACGGGTGCAGGGGCCCTTCTGCTTTCCCAGGTGCATTAGCAGGGAGCTGAATCTGAAGAGGGGCAGCAGGGCCTCAAACCAGCATCCATATGCGATGCTGGTGCCACAAGCAGCAGCTTTCCCCACTATACCATAGCACTTGCCTCAAAGCTTGTTCTAATCTTTAAAAACGTTTGACATCCTGTGATTTTAGATTTAACTGAAGGCAAGCATCTTTGTATAGATACACCATTTTTATATGATTTTAAATACAGTAATGCATCAGTTAATCACAGTATTAAGTTCTCAGAAATGTGGTGATAGTTGATTTTGACATTTTGTGAACATCAGGTTGTACTTAACACAAACTAAGATGGCTATACTTTCACTAGTTGATTTCTTACAGTATATATGGTCCATCACTGACTGAGCAACTTAGGCAGCCTGTAACCACAAGGTCATCTGTTGGTATTCATGAGGAATACCTTCTAGGACCCCCTTGGATACCAAATCCACAGATACTCAGGTCTTTTATAAAAATGGCTTGGTAGTTACGTATAACCTAAGCATATCTTCCTTCTATTACTTCAAATCATTTCTAGATTACTTACAGTACCTAATACAACATAAATGCTGTACAAATAGTTGTAATTAATAAACTGTTGTTTATGAAATAATGACATAAAAAGAATCTGCATTGCATTCAGTATATACACAGTATTTTTTTCAAATATTTTCTTTTCTTTCTTTTTTTTGTAATGTAGCAAGGTTTTATTGGGGAAAGGGCATGTGTCAGAATGGAAGAGAGAGTGCCCAGTTACTCAGACTGGGGGAAAGCAAGGTTACCTGGTTAAATGGAGCAAATGCACGTGGCAGGCCAGGTGGGCGGCTCATGGAGAGCGGAGAGCTGAGAATGCATGTCTTTGTTCAGACCAAGGGAAGGATCGAGTTTGTTCCCACTGTTTCTCTTACCTCCTCCCCCTTCTCCTGCAGGACAAAGGATTTGCTGAGTATAAATTAGGAAATACCTTCCCCGGTTTGTTATCTGACTGGGGAGCCCACCTGGTGCCAGGCCTAGGGTGCCTGCCTTGGAGGAAGGATGTAAGGCCTTGTTGCTCAGTGTTAGGAGGCCAGGTAACCCGTTAGTCTTGGGGAGAGAGAATTCCCCTTGAGGGAAGGTCTGGGAACATCTGGAAAGTTATCAGGGTCTGTGCAGAGCTTTGAAGTGTAAATACTGGGCTATTTCCAAAGTGAGCTTCTGTAGATGTGCCCTTGAATTTCTCTCAGACCCCTCGCACACACATAGGCTAATTTCTGACATCCTCCTTAATATTTCTCCCCTCAAAAGAAAATATCCATAATCTTATGGGGGATAAATGGATGAAGATTCATCTTCTGTACTTGTTTCAGAGCTGACAAATGGGTGTAGAGGTGGATATGGGTATTTTTCTCTTGCTGTCTGTCCTGTGGTGTTTGAGGGTGGCCTTGGAAAGCACTGGTCTAGAGGACTGGTCATCTTGTCAAGGGGTAGGCTGTCAGCCCTGTTTCAGAAGCGCCTGGACCTGGATGGACCTGGATGGCTTGTCTTCTGTTAGAGACAGAACAGACAAGGATATTAAAACACAGCAGACTACAGAGAAGCAGAAAGAATGTGGGTGCTGTGTCACCAAGGAGAGGCGATGACCAGAATTTCCATGACCAGATGTTAGGCCAGATACTTTAGCCTTGTCTGACCTGGTCCTGGAGTCGTCTGGCCTCATACAAGAGAGCATGAACATGATTTTGTCCCCATCTGCTTTGACCCTAGTCTGGGGGCACTTTCTTGGGCAGCAGTTAGCAGGTCTAGGGCCTGCCTGCTGTGAAAGACTGAGTTTAGCAATCCTTTTGTGAGAGCCCTGGTTGTGGCAGCTTTTCAGTGGATGAAAGCTGTGCTTTGTTTGTTTGTTTTTCCCAAAGGAGGGGGCTCTGCTTTGGCTCCCTGTTGAGAGCCTTGCTATTCCCTGTATCAAGGAATCTGTAACCTATTAGGGAAATGCTGAGACTGTCTTAAGGTTGCAGAAGTAGGAATTTGTTGTGTGGCCTGTATCTTTTCTGGGGCTGGTTTTCTCTACCCAGGGTGAGGATAAGGGTTAAATAATGAACTTTATGTCAGATTGGCTATGCTTTTTTTTTTTCTTTTTCTGGTTGCTTGGTAGCTACCTTTTGCTGGGAAGTTAAGCTAATGCACAGACCAACATCTCAAGTTGAGAAAGAAAACAGACTAATAAAATCTATATTCTGGGTTATTTTGCACCCCCCTCAAGAGCTAGGTCTTTTAAGTCCTCTGTGAGGGCCTGTCCAAATAGATGCAGGACTATCTAAGTTAGCTGTTACTCTAAGCCCTTTTTTAGGAACTGGCAGGAAGGGCTTTTTAGGCTTAATAATACTTGGATAGATAGGCTTTAAGATTTGGCCACAGGTATGTGTGAGACCCAGACCCATTCATAGGGTGCTGGAGGAGACATAAGAGACGTATGAACCTCCTTAAGGAGGGCGCCCTGTTGATTCCCCTTACATGGCTGGACTAGGAGGAGAGCTGAATAGGAGGCTAGTGCAGATAGGCAATTTAAGTTTCCCTGACTGACCCTCGGCCGTCTCCTCAATAGCAATGGTTAGGTTGGAAGCTGGGCAGAGCTAAGGGCTTTTTAGCTCGGGGCCCATAGGGTCTGCGGTTCTGACCCAGGAATCCTTCAATACCCAGGGCAATTCTATTTCCAGTAGCCTTGCTCTTGGCAGAGCTGACAGAAGCCAGTTTCTGTCACAACAGCTGCATGCCCAATGCCCTGGCTCCTTATATCAAAAGCAGGTGCCATTTTGAGTGGACTGGCCTTGTTAGGTCTCCTTGATGGTAGATCACTGTGTAAAGCGGCTATTAATTGGCACGTTGCCTATCCTTACAGTATTCCTTCTGCCTAGCTCTCTCCTCTTTGTCCTGGTCTCTGATAAAGTAAACCATGGAAGCAGTCTTTATGATGTCAGTCAAGGGGGTGCTCAACCCATTCCTGATTTTTGAAGATTTATTTTAATATCATCAAGGTGAGCTAAGAAGCTATGGTGATGGCAAATAAGACCAGTGTCTGCAAATAGTGAAGGATAGAATTAAAAGGGAGAGAATGATCCTGCGGGGGAAGCAGGACACACAGCAGACTCATAGAATGGCAAACGCCCTAAACAGCACTCCGGCCTCAATATCAACCCTTGGGGCATTCTGATCTGGCTAAAAGGTCCATGAGAGTCTCACAGGCATGGAAAGCCAAGACACGGTGGCAAAAACAACCTAAATGAAAGATCTTGGTGAACAAGACCCCAGTGGAAGGAACGGGCCATCAAGGAGGGAGACGCCTTTCTCCGAAGGGAGGAAGGAACCTCCACTGTGATATGGCCCTGACTAAACAAGTTCAGAGTTGGTGAACTCAAGGGGCTTTCATAGCCTTGACAGCTCATGGCAAGAGCCTTGGGTGATTACTGATGTCACAAACAAGATTGTCAATAGTTAAATCAACAATGGGAGTCACTGGGCACGTGCTCCCCAAGTAGGATCTCTGTCCTTGTGTGTTTTACTATGAGAGTTAAAGACAACACTACTAGTTGAACAGTACTCTATATCCTGTGTGGTTGTGTGGGTGCAGTCTGTTGAAATCTTTGCTTAGTTGATTTTACTAAGTTTATTAACTTTACTAAGTTGATCTTCTGTATATGAAGGTAATTGAAAATGAAACTTGATGAAGGGCGGGATGGGAGAGGGAGTGGGAGAGGGAGTGGGAGAGGGGAGGGGAGGGAGGGAGATGGGGGGGAAGCCACAACAATGCAAAAGTTGCACTTTGTAAATTCACATTTATTAAATAAAAAGAAAAAAAAAAGAAGCTATGGTGATGGACAAATTCTGACACTTAGTATTTCCCTCTGAGTTAAAACAGTGCCCATGAGTAGAAGTATGGCCTTTCATGTCTATGTT